AGGTGAAGAGCCGAGACCCTGGCGCCAGTCCCCATGTGTGTGGGCCCCGGTCCTGTGTGACCTTGGGCAAGTCGCCTCACCTCTCTGTGTCTCAGCTCTTTGTCTCCAGGGTAGGACACTTACGGTCCATGTTTGCGGGGACAGTCGGAGAATGAGGGACTTCTGCACGTTCTGTTTCAGAAAGGGGAGCGTTGGACAGGTTCACTACGTAGGATGTCGGCAGGTTGCAGGGACCATACGGCCTCATCAGTTATAGCTTCTGAACCGTGGTCTTCAACCTCAGCTGGGCTTTCCTGCTCTTTCGCTCTTGTATCCAACCAACATTTCAGTCCCTGCTCTGTGCCATGTAACGCACGAGGTGTAATGGTGACAGGACAGGACAGGACGGCCGCGGCCCTGCTTTAGAGAGGATAGAGGCACGTGCAGGATGATGAACACACGCACACACACACACACACACAGAGTCACCGAGCCCCATGAAGGAAGCCAGCAGGACACGCGGGGAGGAAGGGGTTGGGGATCAGCAGGGCCTCCCTGCGATGCCACATGTGAGCTGCGCATGAGAAACGGGGAGGCAGGAGCATGCCAGGGAAGGAACCCTGCAGACAGGCCTTGAGGTGGAAGGAGCTCGAGGTCTCGGAACAGCAGCCATAGCCAGGGCCAGCAGGCTGGGGGAGACTGTGGCCCAGATGGGGCTCCCGAGGCAGGCAGGAGCCGGGCTGGGCCCTGCTGGGTGTAGGTTTCCCCCAAGCGCAGGGGAAGCCAGCAGGGCTTAGGCGGGGAGTAGCATTAAAGCTGGGTGTTACGGCTTTAATGGGCCTTGAAAACATTTATGTGAAGTTCTTTGACTTTTTTCACGCATTTGTTTATTTCACAAATGTTATTGTGCACCAGGGATGTCTAGATGCTGGGGGAAAAGCAGGAAACACAGAGAAGCCGGCATGTTCATGGCGCTTATGATCTGATATTAATCCTCCAACAGGTTTAGGTGGAATCCATGATTTTGGCAGTTTCCCAAATCTGGGAACACTTTCCAGGGAAGGTAGTACCATGGGCTGTTCAGATTTTGTTTTATCTCCAGTTTTCTCTGGTCCAGAGAGGGCTTCCTAAGGATCTGGGAATTCTGTGTCTCTCTAGTAACTTTTATTCTGAACACTTGGAAAATTGAGGCCCTGAATAAATTACATTTTTTTAATTTCACAAAATGTATAGAGTCTCATGTACTTCATCATGTTCTAAGCTCTTTATAAATATTAACATTTGATTTTCATTACAGATCTGTGTAGTAGGCGGGATTATTACCCCCATTTTACAAGTGAGGCAGCTGAGGGATTGGCCCCAGGAACCCCAGTGGCAAGAAATGGGACTGGGACTGGAGAGAAGGCTCTTAGCCATTGCCCTGGCATTTTCTGATATAAATCATAAAACAGTGTTTTTTAAAATCATAAAACATGTATTTCCTTTTTGCATTTGGGATTTCTCTGGAGGTTTAGGGCTATTTACAGCCAGATTTAGCGACAGCAGGGGAAGTCGGGTCCTCTCTCACTCTCGCTCTCATTCTGTGGGAGCCCCTGCTTTCTCTTCATGATTCTTTTCACGTTGAATTATCCGCTTAACTTAATTTGTGTAAATGGAATGTGTTTAATTTCATTTTATTTAATTATGTGTTTCTCTCAATCCTGCTAGATTTTCTTTAAGTTTCCCTTGCAGAAAGCAAAGAACTGGCAAATAGGCAAGTAGGTAAAAGTGTATGGTTTTTTGCAAATGCTAAACCCGGTTTACTCGAAATTGGAGATTTTGTTTCCCTCTTTTGTGGGATTGCATAACGGTTTGCTGTAGCTATTTATAAATGTTTAATTGTATTTTAAACAATAGGATAACCAAACAATAGGCCATAACTATTGGAATAATAAAACTGGTAGCAATACTGTTTAAAAGCCAGCATATGCATATATGTGTCCCTTGAGGGAGAAGTCTTTAGCTCACTTTGGATTCTGTTTTTGGGTGGGTAGCAATGGGATTTTTCTGCTTGGTAATTTAACTGCATTTCAGGGATCTTTTGATTAGTTGAGGTTAGGTCATTCATATTCTTTCAGAACCCTCCAGGAGGTTCTGGCCCCCTTTTCGGGAAATGTTCTGTATCCGTCGGTTCTCAGTCTCTGATCATTTGCATCCTTGGGTCCTGTCGGGAATCCTGATCACACCTCCCATCTCCACCTCTTCTCTGTGTCTAAAATATTTCTTTAATGCTCTATAGCTCCTTCTGAAACCCTGTTTCCTCAGTGAAGCTTTTTACAGTGAGTTAAAAGAGAAATCTGGCCTCTTCTTTAGTTGTACTTCTTACTGTTCAGGGATGAAGTTTAATGAACTTCCATTGTGCATGGGTTCTTCGCTTTAATTGACTTATTTATTCTGCACATGAAAACTAATACGAGTCTCTCAGTTTTATGCTTATATGTGGAGCAATGAACTTGTTTGGCACAGCGAACTTGAATTTCAATTCAGTTGGTCATTGGCCCTTGTTTATTTTGTTTAGGAAAGAGTTGATCACATGTGGGTGAGAATATGAATTAAAATGTTACTAGGTTTATGTTGGTTTGCTAGGGCTCTGCCATAACAAAGCCCCATAGACTGGGTAGGGTGAAACAACATAAATTTATTTTCTTGCTGTTCTGGAGGCCAGAAGGTCAAGGTCATAATGTCAGCAGGGTTGGTTTCTGCTGAGGCCTCTCTCCTTGGCTTGCAGACGGCTGCCTTCTCCCTGTGTCTTCACATGGTCTTCACTCTATGTATCCCCTCTTCTTATAAGAATATCAGTCATATTGGATTCGGGTCCATCCATATGACTTCTTTTTAACCTAATCTCCTCTTTAAAAATGCTTCCTCTAAATAGTCATCTTCTGAGCTGCTGGGGGTTAGGACTTCAATATATGAATCTTGGGGAGACACAGTTCAGCCATAACAATAGGCAAGGGAAGAAAACATTCTGAAGGAGAGCAGTGTGGGATATTGGCCATGACCTGGCTTAGAACTGGCTAAGTGATTTAGGGTGAAGTTCACAATAATTAGTCTTTTGTTTTGGACTCTGAGATCTGAAGTACCTCTAATATTCTGTGATACTGCTTATTTAGGAAGATGCTTGGAGAGGAGTTTTTGTAATCCTGTGTTTGCTGGGTAGAATGCATAAGAAAAGAGCTTTTGTCAATTAGACGTTGCTTTGAATTCAATCTCTTTTCTTCTGTATGAAGCTGAAGAAACTGGCTATAAAAATCCTTCTCTTGGCATTGTACAAGCTCCGTGACTGTGGCCAGGTTATGTAGTATCCACGAGCCCTAATTAAGCTACCGATGTGGTGGGCATAGAGTTGTTAGGAAGCCTCCTTGGCTCTTGGCCATTGTTACTGCTGCATACTGCAGATGGATACTGCCTCTCTGTAGATGCCCTGGGTGGCCCCAAGTGCTGAGACCTAGCCCCTGCAGCCCAGGTGGGACATCGCTGTAAATACCTGCTGACTTGTGTGGCCACCACTGCTTGCATGACTTACATGTCATGGAGACCACTTGTGTGTGGCTCAAGGTGGTCCAAGTGGAGCAAGGTTTATATCAATTTTCCCAACCACACTTCCTGTGTGATGGACCCTTCTGCTAGACAGATGTCATTTCAGGGAAGATGGATTGGTTCCAGCTCATCTGGTTACCATGAATTAATTCTTACCTCTTCTTTCTATATTAAATAGCCCCAAATGGTTATCAGGAAATTGTTTATCTTCCTGTATGTTATCATGAGGCAAATGGGGAAACTTTGTGGGGCAGAGATATCGTTTAGCCTAGCACATTAGATTTTAAGATCCATGACCTTTAGTATTGTCAGAAGTAAGGGCTAGACTTTTGTTTACTTTTTCTAGTCCAGAGAGTACCCACATACAGAGTTTTTGTGAGGGGTAAATGAAATACCTGTGTGTGCTTGAGGCAGGGACGGGACACCAGCTTGCCTTTTACATATATTGTTCTAGTTAAAAGTTAAGCTGAGTTTTTATCCTTTGTGTTGGGATTGAGTTTATATAAATCTAGTCGTTCAGAACACTAGGTGGCTTTTGTTACTAGGCTTCAATAGTTCATTTGATTTAGGTAAAATTTTATTTCAGCAAAATCATTAAAACAAGTTGACCAGAGAGTTCTCTGTCCAGGAGTAAAGAATCCCAACTTCTATTTGGCTTACCTAATCATTATATAAGAACATTAGAATATAACTCTGTTGGCAGTGGTATTTGGCCTGGAAAATTCCCCAAAGCTAACCTATTTAACATTTTCTTTCTCTGGTACCATTGCTGGTACCTCCTACTTTGGATTCTGTATGTATCAGAAGTTTTTCAGTTGCAAGGGACAGGCATGTAGGATGTTATTGGGGCATTTTCCCCCCTCTCTCCCATGAATTTATTTCCAGAAACTGATCAGAAGAATGATTGCCAGCATCCCCAAGGTTGTGTCCTTATGACTTCCATTTGGAAAGGAAGAAAGAGCCTCTGTCTTCTGTGTCCATATATCAAATATCAAGGAAGATTTTAATTGGTTCTTCTTAAGTCACATGGTCATCCTGGAACCTAATACTGGCTGGTAGATGAAACATTGTAGCCAAGCATCTTGATTGGCAGGCCCAGTGGGGATCGCAAGGGCTGGGAGAGGGATGAAGTCCCAGAGGAAGAGTTGCTTAGCAAACAGTCACACATGTGTCTAGTCCAGATAATTGGCACTTCAAGTCATCAGGGATTTAGTGTTTATTCTTTGAGTTGAGAGGGAGTGGGAAGGTAACTCATAAAACTTAATGGGATCCATTTAGAAATTTTAAGCATTTAAAATGTCTGAGCTGAGACGATGAGGACACACTTGAAAGGTGCCCATCAGGTGGGATACATGATACATAGACAATCAAATAGTGCAGCACGATTGGTGATTTCTTAAAGGAACAAGATGACATTCATGGCTCTTCTGCTTTTCCGGCAGGGTTAGATGACTGCCTGCAGCAGTACGTCCACAACTTTGAGCGGGAGAAGATCAATGGGGAGCAGCTGCTTCGAATCGCCCATCAGGATCTCGAGGAGCTGGGCGTCACGCGAATCGGACACCAGGAGCTTGTGTTGGAGGCTGTCGACCTTCTCTGTGCACTGGTTAGTTCAGGAAAAGGTGATCTGTGCTGGGATGCTGTTCTCTAGAACTGTGTTCTCTTAAACATGCATTGTTTCCCATTGAGCATATCATGTCTTCTTAATGATCCATTGATGTGAGCTGGAGAAAATGTGAAGAAAAATCATTTTCCAGATTAAGAGTTGGCACATTATAGCCTGTGAGTTAAATCTGGTCCACTCTCTATTTTTGTAAATAAAGTTTTATTGGGACACATTCATGCCCGTTCATTTATGTTCATCTGTGCCTGCTTTTAGGCCACAATGGCAGAGTTGAGTATTTGTAGCAGGGACCAAGGGGTCCCCCAAAGCTTAAAATACTATCTTGCCCTTTACAGGAAAAGTATGCCTATTACAGAAAAACTCTGTATTAGTCTTATTTTTTAAATCTTTTATAAAGATTAAAACGACAGGGATGGTCCTAAGTGAAAATGCGTTTTAAATTGCAGTGACAACTGGGTTCCAATTTCCATGTCTGCTTTTGTTCCTATAAAAAGCATTTTTATGCTTCACGGGTATTTGTGATATTTAAATAACTGATGCCTGTGGTTGAAGTAATCAACCTATGACATGGCAGCTAACTGGGGACAGTGTGAACTTCGTTCCATTTCCCAGATGACTGAGCTTTGGCTTGACCGTGACCGAGTTCAATCCTGCCAGGTTCTGACGCTTGCCTTACACCTGTGGCGGCAGGTGTGGCTCTCAGGTGTGGGCCGAGACACCTGTAAGGGGGATGTATTTATACACTGGCTGGCCCAGGGTGGGAGCCATCTCTGTCTGTCCTGGTGCCGTGCTCAGGATGCAGTTTCCTGACCTGTCAGGGTTGGGCCGGGCTGGGCAGCATGGAGCTGGTTAGTAATGCCATGAGCCCGAGCCAGGGGCATATACAGTGACATCACCGGGGAGGGTGGGAAAGAACGCCTCCCCACGGTCTTGCCGTCGCGGGCCTGCAGTCCCTTGATTATATAACCCTCGCTGCATTGTGCGTATTCTTTTGCTTAAAATGGACAGAGCCTTGTCTCCTGCTCTGGGATGCGCCGCTCTTGTTTAGAAAAGTAATGGGGAAATTATTTGTGGGTGATAAATGAGCTGCCACGAGGGAGTCGCTGTGGCCAAGTGGTGTGAGCGTTGGCCTGGGAGGCAGGCGCTCTGCGTTCTGCTCCTGGCTCTGCTCCTCGCTCTGTCACCTCCAGGGAAGCGGGGTGTCTGCTGTTCCCATCTGCACAGCAACGTCCCCCAGCCGTAGCTGGACTAGCGTGTGTTTTTGCAGCGCCCAGAAGATGTCTAAGGGCCCTGTTTATTATTAAAACTGCATTTTTAAATACAGTGAAACATGTTTGAGTTCTCGATATTGTGCTCTCCGGGAACGGAACAATGCTTTCCTGTCTTTTCTGCTCTTTTGAAGCATCTCTTTCAACTTTGCAGTGGGAGCCGGAGGCCAGGTAGATCCCTCTGGAATCCAGTGTGAGCGGGGAGCGGGAGGGGGCGGAGGCGTGTTGCGCACAGCAGGGGCCGTGACAAGCATACCGGCTGCCTCTCGCCGCTTCCCCCTTCCCTGCGCCTTAAACTATTAGACTGAAGTGAACAAAGCTGGCCCAATGCCAGAGCCAAAAGCTGCATTTTATCTCCTACAATTTCCTTCTCATTTCCTCTGTAGACAAAGTTCTGACCTCAGACGCATTCTGGACATGCTCAGTGTGCAGCGCGCCAGTGGACGCCTCTGACAGGAGGGTCACGTAGGCCTTCTCCGGGCTGGGGAGGGCTTTAGAGAGTGTGACTAAAATGTCTTTTAGTCTTGAGATCATCTCCTTTTTAAATATTCTTATTACAATGAATATATTAATTATACTATCTATTTAAATGCATTTACACCATCTAGATCTTTGTATCTATACAGTGGTGATCCTTTTTAAAAAATACATCTGTATTGTTGAAAGTATTATCGATGTCCCCTTTTTC